GCCATCAGCCCAGAGCCCGACGCGGGGCTCGAACTCACGGACCGCGAGATCGTGACCTGGCTGAAGTCGGACGCTTAACCGACTGCGCCACCCAGGCGCCCCCCAGATTCATTTTTAATATTGTCTCTGGTAACTGGACTTGGGTTATTTTTTTCTTTCCTGCTGAAATAGTGTCTCAAAAACCTGTATGAGTCATTCTGTTTTGCACAGCAGAGACCTGCCGGCTGAGGCAGAGTCACATTTCCTGACAGAAAATACTGTTCCTCGGTCTGCAGCTGTAGCGCGAAAGCAGTGGCATTTCGTGGTGCTTCTCAGAGAACACCTTGACTTCCAGGAACTCTGCTACCTGGTCTAGATGGAAAATGACGGTTCTGCTGCAAGGACCTTAATGGAAGCTTCCTCGTGTGTGCTGTTCATGGCGTGGCAGGCACGCGGGCACTCCACGTGGGGAGTCGGGGGGGAGAAGTCTCTGGGCCCTGCAGGCCTCCCTGATGCGTGTGCCCTTTGAGCTCCGCGGGGGATCCCAGAGCTCCGTGAGGGCCGGTACCCTTGCTCCCGGCAGCCCAGGGCACAGCACACAGCAGGCGCTTCATAAGTGCTCACTGCTCGGCGATGGATGTCCATCCCTGTTGCCTGGCACAATGGTTGAGCCAAAGCCGTATTCCTCGGGCGGAAATGGGGGACGGAGTGGAAGACGGTAGCTGGTGGCTTTGAGTCAGGAAGCGCTGAGGGCTTTAGTGTCTCTGTGTGTCTTTGTGTGCGTGCCCTCAGCGGAAGCCAATGGCCGGGGCAGCTTGGGGGAACAGGAAGGTAAAGGGTCGAGGGTAAGACAGTCTGGAAGGGGAGCCAGGCAGCGGAGGCATGAACCCATCTGGCTGAAGGGATTCCAAGCTAGCAGAGCTCTTCCTTCCTTTGGGGGATCTGGGGCCCGGAAAACCACGTGATATGGTCATGTTTGAAGGGTCTGTATGTCGTACTGACTTCTCGGACCCCTTGCCGTTAGCTCACGTGACTGTGCTGCTTCACGGGCCCCGGGAAGCTTTGTGAAAGCTGAGACCCAGACTGCCCGGGTCCTAATCCCAGCCCCGCCGTCCACTACCCTGTGTGTCACCTTGGCAAAGTTACGTGATCCTCGTGCCTCATTTTCCCTCATCTATAAAATGGGGATCACAGCGACCCCTACCTTGTGGCGTTGTAAATTGGGGGAGCCGATGCCTAAGAAGCACTTGGAACAGGACCAGGCGCACGTTGAGTGTGGCGGGCACGTTAGCCAGCATGGCGTTTCTCCAGTCCTAAGACCCCAGCTCGCCCACGCCCCAGGCCACCGACCTCTGCCACTGTGCTCACGGTTTTTCTTCCATCTCCATTAGGTCTTGGCCAACAAGAGCCACCTGTGGATTGAGGAGGAAGTCTGGAGGATGGAGATATACCTCTCCCTGGGAGTGCTGGCCCTCGGCACACTGTCCCTGCTGGCCGTCACCTCACTGCCATCCATTGCAAACTCGCTTAACTGGAGGGAGTTCAGCTTCGTTCAGGTAAGGTAGTTCTGCCTGCGCTAGTGAGCCCTAGCTCACTTCCTCAGCTTACGTTGGCCCCGACCCTCATGTGCAAGCACCTTCCCTTCTGGGAACCGCCTCGGCTTTCACAATGTGTGCAACAGGACAGTTCAGTCAGACGCCAGGGCCTTCCTGGGCCTTGAGGGCTCAGCCAAGTCTCTTGATAAAGGGGGTGCAGACGAAGCTCCGTCCTCATGACATCTGGGGAAGCTGGGTGTAGGCGCGTGACAAAATCAGACAACAGGGACGCCTGGGAGGCTCAGTCGGTTAAGGGTCTTGATTTCGGCTCAGCTCACGATCTCACAGTTGGTGAGATACAGCGCACAGCCTGCTTGGGAGTCTCTCTCCCTCTCTGTTTGCCCCTCCCCCGCCCCCCATCCCTCTCAAAAGTAAATAATTTTTTTTAAAAAAAAAAAAGAAGAAAAA